TATCAGACATGTGTGCGGCGGCGGCCTGCGCCTGCGCAGCAGCCTGAGCCTGCGCGTGCGCATGGGCTTGTGCCATCTGCGCTGCCGAGAACCGCTGCGGCGCGCTCGACCCGTCGCCGCCGGCGCCGCCGAGCGCCGGAAAGTCCTCCGAGTGCATGTTGAACTCGGCATGGGCACGCTGAGCCTGAGCCTGAGCCTGAGCCTGAGCCTGAGCTTGAGCTTGAGCCTGCTGCACTGCCTGGGCCGCCGTGAGGCCCGACTGCCCGTACGCGCCTGTTGCGCCAGCTCCGCTGCTTGTTCCGGACCCTGCCCCCGTTGCGCCGCCCGCGCCCGACGTGGCAGCATCCAGCGCCGGAAAGTCACCCATAATGTACATGGCCTGAGCTTGGGCCTGGGCCTGGGCCTGAGCCTGGGCCATCATATCCGACGTGTACGCCATTCTCGACGAGCCCAGTGCCTGGGCCGCCTGGGCTTGAGCCTGTGCTTGAGCTTGTGCTTGAGCTTGGCTCCTCATGGGCGACAGTGGCGGGCGCATACCCATGTACTGGGCGGCACCACCACCATACCCAGACATAATTCCTGAAGACCTCTGTCTCATCTGCCCCTCCTCGCACCGCACCACCACTTGTGTAAGCCCCTAGCCATGCTCATACCCACCTCCGGGAACACCCCAAAAATGACCCACCACCACACCACCACCACCACCACCACCACCACCACCACACACACCACCACCACCACCACCTTCTACATACCTCCTGCTGGTAGTACAGCTCATAATCTGATGAAGAGTCCATAGCCTCCAACACGGAGGTGAGACGAGCGTGTCGCCTCGCGCGTTGCTCTTGCCGCAACTTGGGCGGGCGGGGGAGGTGGGCGGGGGGGGAGGGGAGGGAGGGGGGAGGGGGGAGCAGACGATGATCATGCACCACCCTCAACACCTCATCATCATCGCATTCCCCCACACACACTATCAACCGCCAGCCACCACACCACCCTTTACCTCCTTTCTTACATCTGTTCCATCCCCATCCCCCCCCTCTCCCCCCACCTTCTCCCCTCCTCCCACCATTAATCGTTGCCGTCATCGTTGGCAGGGATTGACGGATGACTGAGAGAGACACACCCGTCGCTGTGCTGCTCCGGCATCATGTCCGACAATGAGATGGCGACAATGAAAGAGTCGCAAGCTGTGTTCAAGAAGCTTCTCCAGGACCCTGCCAACAAGGTACGTACACTCCTGTCTCCTTGCATGTAGTTGGTAGCTCCACTACCTCCTGTGGACGACTTGGCTCAAGTCGCCGTCGCTCGGTTTTGCGCTCTTCGCACCACCAACGAGCCGACCTTCCACACACTGCCACGTATACCAAAGCGCATCCACAGCCACCCCATCCCCACCACCCTACTACCACATGCCTTCTCCACACCATCGCTCGCTTTTCCGACGCATAACCATCATGTAGCCGCGGTATGGGCATAGAAGTGCCGCGGGTGGCCTCCGCCACAATATTTGCCGCCTCTCCCCCTCCCCTACCCGCCACGGCTTCCCGGACCGCAGTCAGCCGCATCTTCTCTTCCTCGCGCTCTCTACACTTTGCCAGCGCCTCCCATACTCACACATCGCGTTCGATGGCTTTTGGTTTGTGTGCTGGACGGGGTATTGGTGGTATCGCGGGACCATCGCATGCTGTGGATGACTACACTTGGCGGTTGCCGTCCATGGCCGTGTCATGGGCGGCGTCGCGGCTGCTTGCGGCTGGGCGTGTGTGCTGAACCACCTCTGCTTGCTATCATGGGCACGATCTGGTGTGATGTTATGTGCTGCGGTTGGCGCTGTGGTTGGTGATGCAGGTCTGCTTCGACTGCAACACCAAGTCGCCGACGTGGTCGTCGGTCACGTTTGGCGTGTATCTGTGCATCGACTGCTCGGCCATCCACCGCAACATGGGAGTGCACCTTACGTTTGTGCGGTCGACGCAGCTCGATCTGTGGAGCTACAAGCAGCTGAAGATGATGCAAGTGGGCGGGAACCAGAAGGCTGCGACGTTTTTCCGCAAGCACGGCATGGCCAACGAGACCAAGCACCTGAAGAAGTACTCGTCGCGCGCCGCCATGATGTACAAGGAAGCACTCAAGGCTGAGGCGGCGAAGCTGCCGTCGGCATTCACGACGGCAATCAAGGCCGAGGCCGAGGCGCCCGAGGCGCCGTCGAACAACTCGGTCGACTTTTTCGAGGCCGCCTTTTCTGAGGCCAACTGGTCGCCGCGGGTCGGCGGTTCGACGACTCCGTCGCCGGCATCGTCGTTGGCGGCGTCGGGCACAACCTCACCGGTGCCAGCGTTTCCGACCGAGACGACCGCGACCGCGACCGCGACCGCGCCGGCCGCCTCGGCGGCCGACGGCTCGGCCGCCTTTGCCGCTATCGGCACGGCTCCGGCAGCGTCCGGCTCGGCGCAGCCGTCGCTGCTGACGGCCTCGTCGCTTGGGTCCAAGCCGCGCGCCCGCCGCAACCGCTCGCGCCTCGGCGCCAAGAAGCTCGGCGCGAGCAAGGCGGGCGGCCTCGGCGCGCGCCCGGTCGCCTCGCTCGGCGCCCAGAAGGTCGCTGTCGCCTCGTTTGACGACATCCAGGAGGCCAAGGCCGCTCCGCCGCCGGCCACCCCGCCGCCGACCTCATCGTCGCTCTTTGGGTCGTCGGCCGCTGCCGCCGACGCCGGCCACCCATCCGCCCTCTCTATGACCACCTCCACCACTGCCGCGTCCGGCGCTGCGGCCTCGGTCTCCGAGTCTGCCGCCGCCGCCGCCCGCGCCGCTGAGGAGGAGGAGCGCCGCAAGCTCATGTTCGAGCGCATTTCGGCCATGGGTACCACCGACACCCGAACCTCGTTTGACGACAAGAAAAAGGCCGCAAAGTCGGTCTCGTCGGTCGATAACGCGCCCAACATTGCTCGCGCCCGCTTCGGCAACGCCACTTCGATCTCCTCCTCCGACTTTTTCGAGGACCAGATGGAGCCGTCAGCCCATGCAACGCGCATCTCGCAGTTCTCTGGCGCTGCCGCCATCTCCTCGGACGCCTACTTTGGCCGCGAGTCGTCCGCCGCAGCCGCCGGCGGCGCCGACCCGTCGGCGTCGGACCTTGCCGCCCGCCTGGCCTCGCAGGCCAAGTCCGACATCTCCTCGCTCGGCACCCAGCTCTCGTCGTTCATCAACGACATCCAGACAAGGTATGCGTAACGCAGTGTTGTCTGCCACTCGTACCGCCGATAAAGTAGTCTCTGCCCCGTTACTCGATCACTCCTTCTCCGAAATGAGTCGCAGGTGGGCGAACTTGGCCGCCCGTGCCGCCCGTAGCCCTTCGTCGGTGTACAGGATCTCGCGCGCAGCGCCAGCCTCCGCCACCCGTTTCACCCGCCGCAGTGTCAGCGAGTACCGCGTCGGACTTCCCTCGTATGTAGGCGACGACGCGATGGCGTGCTTGTGCTTGTGGTAGGCGTCACGGGCAAAGACCAGCAGCGACCGCGCCGGCAGTTCGACCTCGGCCACGATCTCGCGAGAGGCTACCTCGCTGAACACCATCACCGCATCGGCACCGAGCGAGATGTCAGCCACGAGCGGTGCAAACCGCGGGCCATCACAGTGCGGCGCAATGCCGGTTCCCGGCGGGTACCGATTGGCGAGGCAGTGGTTCGGCACCGCCGCCTCGCCTGAGTACAGCCCAGCAGCGTTGAGCGCAGCCACAACGTCGCCGAGCCACTCTGGGAGCGGCTCGACCACCATGCCTGGACCCTCGTCAAGGACTGGAGGCACGCCGCCGAGGTTCTGTAGCTCGCGTCCGCCCACGCTCGTAAACCGGCCAGCCTCGAGGCACTCGACCAGCGCCGCCTCCTCGTCGGCAGTCACAAACTCAGGCACGACCCGGATGCCGAGCGCATCAAGCGCATCAAGAGGCTCGACCTCGCCATCGGCCCACCCTGCGAGCAAGCCAGCGTGGCATGGTTGCGCGAGCACGACTGGCACACGGTCATTTGCTTCCGATCCTGCTTCGGCCGCCGCTTTCGTCGCCGCCTCGGCCGCAGCCTCGGCCGCCGCCTCGGCCATCATCGCTGCCTGGAGCGCCGCAAAGTTGAGCGATGTCATCAATTGTGCGTCTCAATGCCCTCGACTTCGAGTACGGGCTGGTAGTGCGCGTTGACGGGCGCGAGAGCAGTGTGCGCGATCAAAGCACCGCCGATGTAGCCGCCGACCGCGGCTAGCTGGACAGTCGATGCCGGACCTGGCGACATCCTCTACCCACACAGGCTCATTTGGCAACCGATCTGCTGACTATACAGCGGATATGACAGGTTACTACAACCTGCGATCCCCATCCTTGCCACCTACCGCTCTCTTGTCCTCCATCCCCATGACAACATCATTGCTGCTTACCACACCATCATGGTCACCATCCTTCACTCTCGGCCTCCATCGCCTCCACCTTCACCCACATCACAACTTTCACCTCCCATCATCAGCAACCATGACCATCCGCGACCGCTCGATAGTCCCACCCCCCTTCACCTCCACCACCACCCGCCAGTACACGTCGGTGAGCCAGCCAGCCAGCCAGCCAGCCATCCATCCATCCCTCACACAGCCGCCGTTGGGCTACCCACACCCCACTCCCGGTAAAGAGTCATGGCATCGACAGCGACATCGACGGCAACCGAAGCCGAGCTCAAGGCCGAGTACACACCACTGATGCATGCTATTGAGGATGGGAAGAACGAAGAGGCGCTCAAGCTCATTGCCGACCGTGCTGATGTCCGGGACCAGGAGTCGGTCCGTGGCTTGTCGCCGCTCATGCTGGCGGCAGGAAGCGGGAATCTCGACGTGGTGAGCGCACTGCTCCTCGCCGGCGCTCCGTGGAACGCCCTGGATCGGAAGGGCTACTGCGCTGGCGACCACGCTCTGCTCAATGGTCACCAGGAGGTTGTCGACGTTCTGGTCAACGCAGGTGTCCAGGCTGAGCTCATCTTCAAGGCCCTCCGCGGCAAGTCGTCGCTTCCGCCGGCCAAGTCGTCGCGCCCGGCGTCGGGCACGGATGACGCTGCCGCGGCGGCAGCGGCGACCGAGAGTGAGGCCGATCCGTACCTTCGCTCCGAGGTCCGGTACGAGGGCGACAACCTGATCGACGACCGCGAGCGCGGTGTGATGATGGAGTGGGAGAAGCCACTCATGATTGCGCACGCCAAGGAGCTGTGCGCAAGCGGCGGCGACGTGCTCAATGTCGGCTTTGGCCTCGGGCTCATCGACACGGCCATTGCCGAGCTGGGCCCGCGCTCGCACACCATCATCGAGGCCCACCCGCAGGTTTATCAGCGGATGCTCGATCTTGGCTTTGACAAGAAGCCCGGCGTCCGCATCGTGTTTGGCCGCTGGCAGGACGTCATCTACGACATTGGCACCTTTGATTCTGTCTTCTTTGACACCTTTTCCGATGTCAACGACCTCGACGAGTTCCACGACGTGCTGCCCATCATTCTCCGTGACGGCGGTCTCTACTCGTTCTTCAACGGCATCACGCCCGACTCGCTCTTCTTCCAGGGCGTCGCCTGCCAGACCATTCAGATCTCGCTTGCCGAGCTCGGCTTCACCACCGAGTTTGAGCCAGTCGACCTCGACGTGTCGGAGGACGAGTGGCAGGGCATTTCCAACCGCTACTTCCGCTCGTCGACGTACTACCTGCCGCGGATCCGCAAGCCGCGCCCGGGCGCCGCGTCGGCGCAGTAACTTCCGCCGAGCTGACGCCATGGCGTATCAGACTCGCGACCGCAGCTCACGCTGCAGGTCGACAACCGAGTCGCAGCCGTCAAACTCGTGGCACGAGCCCGAGTCGGACGAGCCGGCCAGCGCCAGGTCCGGATCGTGGACGGCAGCAGCGTCACTCCCGCGGCCAGTCACGGCGTGGCTCGCGGTGTACTTGCCCCACGAGTAGATGCTGATGCCGAGGAGGGTGAGCGCAATGCCTGACACAAAGCGCACGGTGAGGGTGACGTCGGCAAAGAGAAGCGAGCCGAGCACATCGGTCAGCAGCGCCTTGGCGTTGCCCACAATCGTCGCCGTCAGCGGCGACGACTCGGTTGTCGTCACGAACAGTGAGTAGTTGAGAAGAAAGCCGATGGCCGCCGATCCGACCACAATGCCCACCGTCAGCAGCAGTGAAGCACTCGAGTCCGTGGCAAACGCGGCTGCCACATACACGTCCGGCTGTCGCCCGCCGAGCATGTGGTGCGGCACAAGGGTCTCAAAGACGAGAAAGGCGGTGAGAGCCACAACGCACGAGCTCACGTTTGTTCGCAGCAGCTGCGCAAACGGCCGGCTCTGCCCCACGGCGCCTAGCGCCACCAGGTACCCGGCCGCGCACACCATCGAGCACCCGGTGAGCGCGTAGCCTTCGAACGAGTACGCGGCGTCGGCCATGCCGGCTGTCAGTGCACCGACGCAGATTAGGACTACCGACGCCAGCGTCGCGCCCATCGGCTCGGGCAACCGTCCATACAACATGTACTGCAGGATGAGGACGACGGCAACAAGCATTCTCCGGATGGCTCCAAACATCGGCAGCGAGACATACTTGAGGGCAAGGACCGAAAACGCGTTGTTGCCCACAAACAAAACGGCGACAGCAGCATCTTTCCAGTTCTGTTTTGGCGAGTGTCCCGATGGCGGTGAATAGGATGCTAATGCTGACGCCGATGTGCCGGCACCAGGAGCACTCGTCCGAGCCGAGCCATGGGAGTGAGCCAGCGTGGGGCCGTGGCCACCGCGACCACCACGGGCGCCGCGATCATCACGGGCGGATCGACTAGTCCGAGTAGACCGAGGACCAGGCCTGCCAGACGACGACTTGGATGACTTTGCCCTGCCATTGGAGGCCTTGCTGCCAGTGGAGCCTCTGCTTGACTCGATGTGGGCGCTTTGCCCAGACATGGCCATAAAGGCAAGGAGGACCAGGAGCGACTGTCCGAGGAGGAGGAAGACCGGAGGGAAGCCCATACCAAACACATACTTGTTGTACAATGTCATGCCTAGCGATGTTGCCCCATATAGCACAGCTCCTCCCATTGGGGTGAGCCACGGCATGGTGGCGAGAGTGGTGTGTGTGTGTGTGCTGGGGGTGGAGCAGCAGGTAACTGTGCTGTGTTGGTGGCGATGTGGTGGGTGGAGGCGGGCGTGGTGATGATGGCGGGCGAAGAGTGTTAGGTAGGCTACTAGGTCGCTTCCTGTACAAGATCGGTATGCTGCTTGCACTTGCCAGGGCCAAAGTGACCCTTGCGTACCACGGCGCCACAGGTGAAGCAAAACGAGTTGCGACAGGCCGGGCATCGGATGTTGTTGTCCTTGGTCATCTTGGCGGCCATTCGGCCGCAGAAGGGGCACTTCTTGCGGACGATCTTGGCGTGATGAGTCGCACCAAAAAACCGCATGTGCATCATGCGTTGGATGTTCATGTCGACCTGGAAGTGCAGATTCCGGGCACCTTCGGCCGGATCGGGCTCGCGATCAAAGAGCTTGCATTGCGACTTTGAAAGTGGTCGTACGACAAGATGGCGACGCCGCATCGCCAGCACATGGCTTGATTGCAGCGGATGCACGTCACCTTGGCGCAGCCACCGTTCTTGTAGATGACGGCACCGCAAGTCGGACAGAACTTGGACGTCCGCGCGATAAAGTCGATCGAGAGCAGCTCCTGCTGCTGCAACTTGTTCTGGGCTGCCCGCTCCTTGAGCATCTTGACCCGTGCCTCGGGCCCGAGGCACGGTGTCGAGTGCGAAGTCATGAGGCACAGCCCGCAGAACATGTAGTTGCATTTCGGGCACACGCCCTGCTGGGTCTCGGCGTGCAGCGGGCTGGGCGTCCCGCAGGTTGGCCTCGGGCAGAACGCTACGTCCTCCATCGCCGCCAGCGCCTTTTGTAGTGAGAACCGGTCGTACTTGGCATACAGCTCAGCGTCAACCAGACCTGCCACAGTGGCCGGCCCGATCTCACCTGTACACTCGAGGTTGGGGCAGACGAGGTCGTCGAGCCGGTTCTCGGTGATGCACAGCGTCACGAGGCGCGTCATGCACTCGCTGCAAAAGTAGTGTCCACACGGGAGAATGGTGAAGGACGAGCCAAGTGCATCGTCGTTGAAACACACCGCACACTCTTGTTGCGAAGCCTCAAACTGTGCAAGCTTGGTCGCGCCGTCGTGCTCGAGCACCAGCGCGATGACATCATCGAGATTGGAAGGCATCAGGCTCTCCACCTCAAGCACCGACTCGTCAACGCCAGCGCCCTCGCTTGCAAACGCCCGCCGTGCCTCCGCCTCGGCATCAGAGCCGGCCGGCGAGCCAAAAAGTTCTGCTGCGACTCGAGGACGAGGACCGAGTCGATGGCCAGCGCGTCCAGCACCTCGGCGGCAAGGAACGAGATGATGCTGAAGACAATCACGTTGCCCTCGGCATCGTCCAGCACCTCAGCCCGCACCACCTCTGCCAGCGCCTCCATCTGCTCCTGGGTCAGCCAGTCGCACATCAGCCGGAAACCCGGCAAGCAGCGCGAGGGATAGCCCTCGCGCGGCTCGACGTGCAGCACCATGGGCGGCAAGTGTGCGATCTTGAACTCGACGTCTTGGCCATCGCCACCACCCCACACCGCTTGCAGCGCAAACTCATCAGGGAGCGAAACAGCCACTGCCACCGTGTACGCGTCAAGAGCAGCATTCTTCTCGGAACTGTCGTCATCGTCGCCGCCTGGGGCTGCTTGGCGAACAACGCCGCCTTTGCCAATCCGCGCCACACCGTCACCGTAAATGGATTCCAGCGCCAGCAGCTCGTCTCGGCGAGCCTCTGCATCCTCCTCACACCACGCCGCCATGACTCGTCCACCACGTGCCGAGTGCACGAGAGGTGTCCGTGCTGGCAGTCGACTTGGCAGTACCGAGTGGCTCTTGGCCGGCTTCACTCTTCGTTGCCATGCAACGGGAACACGAGTTGCCCACGGCAATCGGAGGTTTGCGGACTTACGTGGATGTAGCAATGAGCAAAGGGCAGAACCTGGTGATGGCGACGCGGACATGCGGTTAGGTCTGGCTGCACAACTCTGACAGAGCTATCTTCTGTCTCCTTGGCTGCTGCTGCCTCCTGCACGGATCCGATCTTGATGTTCGAGCAGATGTAGTTGAGGCGCGTGCGACGACAACAATCAGAACACACTGCAGTTTACGCAATATGGTCCCTGTTGCGCGCGCTGAACTCATTGCATCCGCTGTCCTTCACTGCCACCGCTGCACTGCACTGCGTCAGCACGAACTGTCTGTCGCGCACGCGCCGCGCAGCGCCGCTGCACACACACACACGCACACACACGCACACACACGCACACACACCACTCCCCAAATCAAGATGAAGGCAGTGGCTACTCTTCTGATTCTTGCTACGGTGTACAGTGCGAGTAGCCTTGGCGTGGCGGGCATGGTCGTCCCGCCCGCTCGCGTGGCGGCGGCACCTGGCAGGCTGGGTCAGGCATTTCTGTCGGTTTCTCAGGCAATGGTCGGGATGGAGGCGTGGGAGACGAGTCCGGGCGGGATTGTGTTTGGAGAAGTGGACGATGGCATGGTGCGAGAGGCACTGGGCGTGGAAGGGCCGGGCAAGTGGCCGGTGAAGCACTACTACGTGACGATGAATGACGGAGTCAAGCTTTTCGTCTCGGTCTTTGTCCTCGAGGGCAAGGAGCAGCAGCCGTCGCCGGCGGTTGTCGACAGGTCGCCTTATGGCCCGCTGCTGGAGGAGCTGGCGGATTTGTGGCTTCCGGTCGGGTATGCGGCGGTGATGGTGAACCAGCGCGGGACCGGGCTCTCGGAAGGCAACTGGACCATGTGGCACACGTCTGCGTCAGACGGGGCGACGATCATGCAGTGGATCACCGAGCAGGCGTGGAGCAACGGGATTGTGTTTGAAGAGGGCGCATCCGCTGACGGCATCGAGGCGTACACCTCGTTCCTTGTTCCGCAACCACATGTCAAGGCGGCATGGGTGCTATGGTCGACGGGCCGGTCGCACCCGCTCGTCTACCAGAACGGTGCGTTCCGCCATTCGCTCGTGGGTGGATGGATCGAGTCGATCCACGCGCAGCGACCATGGATGCCGGCGTACCTGCCAGAGATGTACGAGCACGAGGCGTTTGACACGTGGTGGGCGGAGATCTCGTTTGAGAACTACACCAACGTCGATGTGCCGATGATCCACTACGCCGGATGGGGCGACATTTTCCTGCAGCACCAGCTCGAGACGTTTGCAGCGTTTCAGGCTCAAGGCGCAGCCGGCGCGCGTGGCAAGCAGAAGCTTGTGGTTGGTCCGCTAGGGCACTGCTCGCTACAGGCGCACGACCGGCGGCCACAGGCTGAGCTGGCCGAGATTTTCTCCTACGATCTGGCAACGTGGCTCTTTGTGACGACAGCGGGTGAGCCGTTTGATCCGCCCAAGCTCGACACCATCACGTTTTACGTCATGGGCGCCAACGAGAGCCATGCGCCGGGCTCATACTGGACCACGCTTCCAGAGTGGCCGGCGACGACGCCAAAGACCTTCTACCTTGCAGCGAACAAAGTGCTTGCTGTCGAGCCGTCGAGCGCGGGAGCCAACGAGACCTACGTCTTCGATCCGGCGAATCCGGTCAAGACGATCGGCGGCAACAACCTCATGCTGCCGTGCGGGCAGCGGGCGCAGAATGCGGTCGAGGGCCGGGCAGACGTCCTTGTCTTCACCTCGGCCAAGCTGAGTGCGCCGGTGGCGATTGCGGGGCGGATGTCGACGACGCTGTACGTCTCGTCGTCGCGCAACGACACCGACTTCACGGTCAAGGTCACGGACGTGTTCCCGGACGGGGCGTCGATCCTCATCACCGACGACATCATCCGCATGCGGTGGCGGGTGTCGGACAAGGCACCAGTCGGGATGGTGCCCGGGACAGTGTACAAGGTGACCATCGAGCTGTGGGCGACGTCGTACGTGTTCAACACCGGGCACGCGCTCCGGTTCGCGGTCTCGTCGTCCAACTACCCGCGGTTCTCGGTCAACCCGAACACTGGGCTGCCGATCATCGACTTTGACGAGGCTCACATGCTTGTGGCGCACAACACGCTCCACTTTGGTGGGGAGACGCCGTCATCGCTCACACTCCCTGTCGTTTCGATGACTGACATTCCGCACAATGTGCTGTGAAGGTGGATTGTAGCTTCCGTGGTCGCCGACGGGAGTAAAACAACGTTGTTTTCCACACGCCGCAAAAATAGGGGTGTGGTGGGGAGAGGCGTAAGCGGGCGGTGGGCTACTCCACTTTAGAAGCAGCGAGAAGGCAGCCGCGTTTCGCTCTGGGACAACATGTCGACGGCAGCTGAGCTGACACGGGGCATCCCCCGAACGGGGGTCTCGTCCAAGCTGACAGAGACTGAGCGTGCGGGAAACATGGCGACATACTCGCGAGGACAGCCTCCTGCGGTGGGCGGCCTCCACACCAAAATCATTTCTTCTGGCGCCGACGGAAGGCATGGACAGACGGGCTCGTCAGGCACGCCAGGCATCGGATGTGGCGGCAGCGGGGGGCCAGGAGGTCGCGGAAGTCCTGGCGAGCATGGAGACGATGCACTGGCACTTGATGTGGCGCTCTCGGTGTCGGGCGACCGGGTGGTGGTCGGCTCGGCCATGTTTGCGGGTGCCATTGGCGGAACGGTAGCGCACGAGAGCGTCGACAACTCGTTCGAGCTTGGGCATCCGGACACCTCGCTGTTTCTGGAGGGACGTGGCGGTGATGGTGGGCGCGGCGGCGACGGCGGGCGTGGCGGCAACGGGGCGATGGGCTCTTCCGGGCGTAACGCGACGCGGCACTCGTCGGGAACCAACGGCGGGCCAGGAGGAGCTGGTGGGCGCGGCGGCGACGGCGGGCGCGGAGGTAACGGCGGTAACGGATCGCAGATGCGGGTACGGGTGGATCTGAGCGATGCAGATTTGCTCATGCTGCTGAAGCGGCCGCCGCTGGTCCGGCGTGGATATGCCGGCGCCGGCGGTCACGGCGGGTCCGGAGGCTCGGGAGGGCCGGGTGGACCGGGTGGGGCGAGCTATTCATGGACGACGACGTCGACAGACGCCAATGGCGTCACACAGACGCATCACCACTCGAACCCCGGCGGATGCTCAGGCCCGTCAGGCCCACCTGGGCCGAGCGGCCATGACGGGCCAGCCGGAACGGACGGCGGGACTGGGTCGTTTATCATCACTGTGGCGAACTCGGGGCTTTCGGCGGCGTGGCGTTACGAGCTTGTGGTGGTCAATGACGTGGAGCTCATGGACCGCGACGGGTACGGGGTGATGGAGCCTGGGGCGCACGTGTTTGTCCGCCACTCGGTGCTGAACGAGGGCGGGCTGCCGACGCCGCGTGACCAGGACATTGCGGTGTTTGTCAACTCGAACGAGTGGGTTCTCTGCCGGCCCGAGGACGAGGTGGTCATTCCGAACGAGCTCATGCCGGGCTGCTCGCATCACCTCTCTGCAGCAAGCGCCACGTATCCACTTGGCGATCTCCACATCCAGATTGTGGATGTGTTTGAGCCGCGGCACGGGCCTGCGCTGCGGGCGCGAGCTGTGCTCGACCACCAGGCGCGGGTCTCGCGCATCAACCAGACGTTTGACCACGTGGCAGATCAGAACACATCGTTCCGTGTCGAGTATCCGGTGGAGGTGACGCAGATCCGGGGCAACTTTTCGATTTCCCGGTCCGAGGAGGCGATTCTGATGGTTCAGGTGGTGAACAAGTCGTCGCTGGCGATTGGTGTCGACGCGCTCGAGTTTCCGCGCTTCCTGCAGTCATACATCCGGCTGGTACCGTCGCCCGGGGTTGAGGTGCAGGATCTGACGTTCCGCGACTACTACGCCAACGGTCTTGGCGCGAGCGGGTTCTTCAACCCTGAACTTGGCATCACGCGTGACATCAATTTGCTTGCACCTGGCGGGGTGGCGTACGTGGCTGGCATGGTCTCGTTCACGAACCCGGAGACGAAGCTCTACACGCGGGCGACGTTCCAGGTGGACCTCGCGGTGGGCCACGTCAACGACAAGATGAGCGGGCGCATTGTGCAGACGCGGCCGTTCCAGGTCCAGCTCGCCGAAGCGTACAGCTACAGCGAAGCGGATGAGGTGCTGCTTGTGGTCAACTTGCACTCTGAGCTGGACGAAGTCAACGCGTGGCGGCGGCTGATTGCGGCGGTGTTTGGCGGGGTGGGAGTGGCGGTGTGGAACGTCAACCTCTACCACGGGTTCTCGCTCGACTACGTGCCACGGAGCGGACCGGGAACGTCGCTGGGGGAGATCTTTGCCGGGAAGACGGTCATTGTGCTCAACAACCCGTACGAGGCGCGCGAGCGGAGCGACAACTACCCGCTTTTGGCGATGCCGCTAACAGAGATGATTGATGCGTTTCGTGTCTCAGGCACGCGGTTCTACATGTACGGGCGGCGCCGGCAATGGAGTGGGAGCCGCGGCTGATGCCACTCACCAACGACCGGGCTGTGTACCACCAAAAGGCGAAAGATATTGTCGCATTCGAGTCTGTGGACGACATTTTCAAGGGCGAGGCGTCGACGACGTCATTGGCGGTGTCCGAGGCGACGGCGGCAGGCCCGATCCGGCTCTCGGCGCAGGCACCGGCGGACTTTGCCGGGTACGTGTCGAAGCGTGGGGCGTCGCGCGGGGCAGCGTTCAAGGTGCGGTACCTTGTGCTGCGGCGAGCGGTCAACACGCTTGCGTACTACAAGGACTTTGACTCGGGCAACCCGACAGGAGTCATCTACTTGCCGGACGTGGTCGATGTGCTCGACGAGTTCGAGGTCGACCCGCATGCCAAGGACACTCCGACGGTGGACCGGGCGGCCAAGTTTCGGATTGTGTGTCCGGATCGGACGTACCACTTTTACATCTCCGAGGCCGCGGCGTTGGAGCATGCCAAGCACGGAATCGCGGGCACGCCGCCGTCGCGCGATGCCTGGGTCCAGTACATCCGCGACGCGTGTCCGCGGATTGGGCTTCCGCCCGAGCCTCCGGCACCGCTCTTTGCCGAGCTGAGCGAGGTGATGCAGTCAACAATGGACGAGTACGAGGACTTTGGCGACGACGACGACGATGACGATGACGACCTTGTGCCGGCATCGCCCCCACCCGAGTACGTCGAGGCTGGACCGTCAGGAGGCGGAGAGAAGGCCATGTCTCCCGCGTTGCTGGCCGCGACTACGTCGCCGGCTGGAGCTGGGGCTGGGGCCGGGGTTGAGGCTGGGGCCGGGGTTGAGGCTGGGGCCGGGGTTGGGGCCGGGGCTGGGGCTGGGGCTGGGGCTGGGGCTGAGACTATGGGGTCGGCGCCGCCGGCTGAGGCTGTGGGGTCGGTACCGCCAGCTGAGGCTGTGGGGTTGGTGCCGCCGGCTGAGGCTGGGGCATCGGCGCCGCCGGCTGAGGCTGTGGGGTCGGTACCGCCAGCTGAGGCTGTGGGGTTGGTGCCGCCGGCTGAGGCTGGGGCATCGGCGCCGCCGGCTGAGGCCGTGGCATCGGTACCGCCAGCTGAGGCTGTGGCATCGGCGCCACCGGCTGCGACGACACCTTCGGCACCACCGGCCGAGACGGTGCCATCGGCACCACCGGCCGAGACGGTGCCATCGGCACCACCGGCCGAGACGGTGCCATCGGCACCACCGGCCGAGACGGCGACACCGCCACCACCGGCCGAGACGGCGACACCGCCACCACCGGCCGAGACGGTGCCATCGGCACCGCCACCCACCCAGCAGGGCGACGAGTGTGATCCGACGACGGTGCCAGCGTCCCACCCAGGTCTGTTTGCGGGTACGCTGTCGAAGCGCGGAAAAGGACTGTTTGGCAAGGGCTACAAGGCGCGGTTCTGCGTCCTCCGCGTGGTTGACCCGCCGCATCCACATGCACCAGCCATCCTTACCTACTACAAAAGCGACAACTCGTCATCGCCACAGGGCTTTGTGCCACTGGCACGGTTTGAAATCCGGCCCGGCGGCACCCGCGATTCGTTCCTGCTCGCCACACCGGACCGGACGTACTTTTGGTCCGCGACCGAAGCGGCGACAGATGAAGCGACACCGAGCGGACACACACGGACTGTGCCACCAGGCGCGTCAGCAGAGGACATAGTCCTGCTGTGGATGGCCAAGCTCCAGCCGTTCTCGCGGCGGTTTGCGCCGGCACGCAAGGGGTCGAACTCGTCGCTACTCACTGTCGGCGAGAGTCCCGACTCGCCACCAGTCTCGGACGCACAGGCTTTGTTGCGGGCAGCGCGGCGAAGTGTCCGCGATCTGGCGGTTGTCTCTGTCCCACGGCGCGACGAGGGCGGTGATGCCTACGACGGCTCGGTGTCGGCGACCGGTGGATGCGGGACACGGCTGGCCAAGGCCCAGACGACACCTGCGCACGCACCAGCCGACTTTTATGGTGTCGCGCGCATCCGGACGTCCAAGCTGAAGGACGGCGAGTTTGAGGAAGATGCCAAGACGCTGTTTGTCACCCTCCGCGGACGGGTGGTTGCGTGGTACAAGTCTGAAACGGCCAAGAAGCCGATTGATGTGCTCTCACTCCGCAACTTTCGGCTTGTTGCGCCGCAGCGCGTCGGCAACGCTGAAGCCGATATGGCCAAGTTTGCTGCGGTTCTTGCGCCGCAGCCGTCAGCGGAGATTATCATTGTCACTCCAATGGCCGAGGTTCTCTTTTCGTTTGACATTCGCGGCGCGCCTGGCCTCGATGAGTGGCTCCCGCTCTTCATCGGCCTCACCGAGGAGGAAGTGCCGCACCTCACGATGGCGCACTTTGACGCGTCGGCTACGACATCGGCCGTCATCCCGGTCATGCGCAAGTACTTGTTCGGCGCTCTTCCCCAAGAGAAGCACCTGGTCGACGCAGCACGCAAGCTCTCGGCTAAGCTCACGCGCAAGTTCCCGGCGGAGCGGTTCATCATCGAGTACGAATACTATGCGCCAGCCAAGAAGACCGGGATGGCGCCGCGCAAGGCGTACCAGCTCGGAGTGTTGGTCATCAAGCGTGGTATGCCACGGGTTAACTCGGGCATTGTCCCGCTGGTGCTCTCAGAGACCGAGGCGCTCGCGATGCACGACCCCGGGACGACGCATCGGACCGGTGTCTTCTCGAACGCCAATCTTTTTGCGCTGTACAAGTCACTGTCGTTCGCTCACAAGCTGCATCTGCTCAACACAGTGGCGCGACCGTCGTACCAGCAGCTGACACTCATGTACCACGAGCTGTACACGATTGCACAGGATGTAGACGCGTTTGACGGGCGGACGCGGTGGGAGGCGACTCTCCAACCGATGGAGGCAACGCTCCTGGCGTGGGCTATCTGCTCGGACCTCGCCGAAGAGATCTCGGCGTTCCGGCTCTCCAAGACAAACGGCCCTCTCAACAAGGCGACCGTTCGCGACGGTCTCACTCTTCACAGCATGTTTGCCACCCACGCTATCAATCTGCGGCCCGGCGATCAACTCGACTCGCCGACCTCGCTGCTGCTGCTGTTCATTGTCCTCACTGATTGGACGCTAGTGCGGCGGATGACGTCGCGATGGGCGCTTGCAGTCCGGCGGTCTGGCGCGGTCTATGCCGGCGTCACGTACTGGCTCGAGCTTTCGCTCTCGTCGATGGCGTTTGCGCTGGGCGTGCCCGACGGCGCCATCGGGATTCCGGACGCATTTTGCGAGAAGGGCCTCGTCATTGTGACCCAAGACCGGGACGCGCCGGTTCCCGAGGTCCCGCCGCCGATCCCGGTGCGGGCCATCGCGCGCGCGCTCGCGGTTCGCTGGTGCGATATGAGCGACGACGCGGTGCTCGGCGCGGTTGCGGTCCGGTTCGGCGTCAACCCGCAGGTCGGCACGTTCTGGACGTCCGACGCGTGCGTCATGTCGCGCGCTGAGTTTGAGGCCCGGGCCCGGGTCCGCTCGCTCTTTGGCTCGCCGGCCGACGTCGTCGAGGGCGTCGCGTCGTATTCGACCCAGGCTGATCGCCTTGCCGCTGTCGAGGCGTACATGGACAACCACGAGCAGTGGATGTACCTGTAGCACAGCCGAGTATTTCACCATCAGTTCGGCACACACAGGCTCGGCGGTTGGCCCAGAGTCATCGTCATCATATTACAGCACAGGCTCGGCGGTTGGCCCAGAGTCATCGTCATCATATTACAGCACAGGCTTGGCGGTTGGCCCAGAGTCATCGTCATCATATTACAGCACAGGCTCGGCGGTTGGCAGCTGTCGGAGCGGCGAGCGGCGGGCCAAGTCGATGCGTTCGCGGTCAGCAATGGCAGCTGCCTGTAGCTCATGGAACGAGACGGCGACGAGCCGCCCCGCGCGAGAGAAAACCGCAGACGGGAGGGAGCTGAGCAGAGCGATGACCTGCTTCTTGCTGTAGTTGGGCAGCGGGCCATCAGGATCGTCTGCTGGCGGCTCGTTTTGCGAGATCATCATCCGAAGCTCCATCTGTGACACCTTATGCTTGCCCTGCGGCCCTCCACAGAGCACGCCACCCTTCAGCGGGCCGTACTCGGCAAGCAGCGAGAGCCGCGCTGTCGAGTGCGGAAACCATTCATTGCTTGGAAACAGAAACTGCAGCACGACCATCGGCAGAGAGCCAGCCCATCACGCAACAGCGAAGCAGCAAATAGCCATCAGCCGTCGATCGCGCGTGGGCGTGGATGTGAGTGTGACATGGAGCGTGGTCGCACAGCCTCGCCGCCTCCCCGCACTTGCTCCCAACGTACTCGGATGATCTCAGAAACGCTCACGGCCGCCTCGGGCATTTTGAGCTCTTCGGGCTCTGTGGAGATGTTCGCCGCACTCCTGCGCGACCTCCGTTTGCGGCGCGGCATGTGCTCGGGGAGGGTGGCGAGTGGTGTATGTGCATGTGTGTATGTGTGGCGGAGCTGTGGGAGGGAGCGAACGTTGGGCGGGATAATCGTTGGCGTGACATAGGATTAATTGAATTTAGAGCCGAGCGAGACAATCAATGGTAAACGACAAATTTATCGCTGAGCGAGGCAGTGCGAGATAATCGTTGGACTCTTATTGCATTATTCGATGGAGTGCCTTGGGTCACCAACCATGGTTGGCGAAAGAGTAGGAACACGGTGCCATCACAGCCGAGCAAGGGAAGGAGGCAGAGGGGGACCAGACAGAGAGGCACACCCGACGCAGAGGCTTGAAGCATGGGCCGCAGGCGGGCACGTAAGCGAGGGAAGCGTGGACCGGTGAGCGAGCAAGGTCGAAAGGAGCAGCAGAGTGTGGCTGTGGGCACAAACGAGGTCCATACAAAGAGTCCGTCGGCGGCCGTCGTCGACGAGGCTGCGCTCTTGCGGGCATATGCCTGTGCCAAGGAGAGGCCGCTCGAGGCGTGCAGAGACCACATTCTCGACACGTTGACAGCGTGCTACTCGCATGGTACTGGTGGCGGTGGTGATGGAGGTCCGGGAGAGTCACCCATGGGCGTGGCTCCGCTCCCGCTCCCGCGTCCGCCGCTACTCGCTGCTACAGCTCCCCCCGATGGTCGGTCGGTCTTCTACGGGCCGGGCTCTTCGGTCCCGGTCGCGCCGTATGCATTTACTTGGATCCATGCTGATACGGCCGAGACCTGTGTTGGCGACGGCTCGGTGTGGATGGCGGCCGGGGCGGACGATGTCGTTCCCCTGGCAGTCTCGGCTGGAAGGGTTGTCGATGCTGTGCTCGACCAGGGCGTGAGCCGGGTCAGGTACAAGGCATTCCGTGCAAGCATTGACGGGACGGTTCATGAGTCGCGAGCCGCCGCCAAGTTTCATGTGTGGACCCAGCATCGCGGGAGCGTGGAGAGCGCAGTGCGGGCGTTTGTGTTGGCCAACGCGGCCACGCACGGCGGGGCCCGTCACTCGGGCTCACCGGCGCATGCGCTCTCGGCGCTCCTGGCGGGCCTCTTTGCACCACACTTGGTGTATCCGGAGCTGATGACGGCGGCTACCTCATCTGAAAGCACCGGGACGGCACCGCGGGTGCCCAGACCCCGCACCACAGCTACGCTGAGCACGTTAGAGGCGGCGTGGGCGGGCGACCAGGCGCTCGCACTGGTACAGAACGTGCTCCGGGCCGAGTGCGACGTCGGCGGCGTGTTTGAGCGGTTCTTGAGCGAGGCCGAGCGGGTGGCAGCGGCGCGTGCGCTCTGCTCGAGCGAGGACGAGTCGACGCGGCGGGCACGCGAGGGCACGATCCTGGCTGAGGCGCAATCGATCAAGGCCGAGGCCGAGCAAGCCGCCGAGGCGCTGCGCGAGGCACAGATGAGTCCAGAGCAGCGTGCGTGGTACCGGTTCAAGAATCGCCTCGAGCCGCTGCAGACGAGTATGGTTACGGAATCGCTGGTCGAGGAGCTCATTGACGAGATTGCTACATCGCTGGTGACCAACATGGCGACGAAGCAGCTCAAGGCGTGCGCCGTGGCTGCAGCCGAGCGGGAGCGGAAGGAGCGGATTGCCCGCCGCGCCGAGGAGCTTATCCGTGAGCGCGAGGCCGCCGAGGCTGCCGAGGCTGCCCAGCGCGAGCACTACCGCGAGATGACACGGCTTGTTGCTGGCGAGGCTGTGGAAAACCTCGAGGAAGCCGTTGTCACGCACGAGCTGACACGGATGCTGAGAAAGATGGTGGCGAGCCACAACGAGGCGGCCAAGCGCGAGCGGCTGCGTGTCGAGCACGAGCAGGCGCGCGAGCGCGAGCAAGAGCGGGAACAGGCGCGAGAGCACGAGCGTCAGCGTCAGCGAGCACAGGTTGACCAGTCGCGGCGGGAGGAGGAGAAGGCTGCCTCGCAGCGGAGCCTGCTGCCGGAGCTTTCACCGCTGGCACCACACGTTGGCGTGGCCCAGGGCGGCGGGCCTGGTGGAGCGCGGCGGCGGCTGGCGCTTGGAAGCGACATGGTGTCGGGCCGGCAGCCTGCGTTTCAGGACTCGCAGCTCGCGATGTTGCGGCAACAGCAGGCCGAAGTGCAGGCGCAGTTGTCACAGGCGCTGGTCTCGCCGCTCTCGGGCTTGGCGCCACTGCCGATGCCTGGTGCCTCGCTGTGGGCAAGCACTCCGGCAGGCGATCCATGGAGCTCGGGAACGACAGGCAGCGCACCGCTTAACCCGCCCGGTTTCAGCAGCGCGTCGGGAGCTGCGCCAGCTGTAGTTGACAACTTTCTGGACATTGACGTGGAGGAGTACGGGTTCCTGGCGTCTGCGACGGTGATTGTGACCGGTGTCCCCCTGGCCGGGCGGTCAGGCTCGGCGATGCAGTCGCTCTTTCCGTCTTCGCGAATTGCGTACATGCGTGACGGCAAGCTCAAGGCAGTCTTCCCAGCGGAGCTGGATGGGACCGGCATGGTGGAGTTCTTCTCCATTGCCGACGTCGACATGGCGGTGGCGCGGTCTGGCACGCTCTTTGCTGGTGCGACGGTGCTGGTGCGGCGGGCGCCGCCGCCGCGGGCCAAGGCGGTGGCGGTGGCACCGGCGGCGCTTGCTGCGCCGATTCTGCCACCGTCCCTGGCACCCGACTGGTCGCTTGGTGGCTTTGGCCTCGGTGCTACCTTTGGCAGCACCGACGGGCTGAGCGCTGGCGCCGGCGACGGACACGCTCTTGGGGCGGCCAACTTTCCGTTGTTCGGTGTCCCGGCGCCCGAGAGCGCGCCTGTGGCACGGCCGCGCAACCCGTTCCTCACCTAGCTCTGGGACGCTATAAATGGCTGTGTGTTCTTCCGCACCTGCTGTTGCTCTTGCTTTACTTCACTTGCAGCGAGTGGGCGCAGCTCTGGATTAGTCCCAGCCGCCGCCTGCGCCAAACTCGGGCTCGACCTCGGGCGCAGCGACCGTGGTATCGGCCTTCGACTTGGCCTTCTTTGTCTTGGACTTGGCCGGGACAACGGCGGCAAGGCCTGTGATGGACGGGTCGGCAATCTTGCGCTCGGTTTCGGCAGTGGCGGCGGCGATGCGCTTGGCGGCATCGATCTTGTCGAACGGGTTGACGCTGTCGTTGGACTTGGACTTGGCCTTGGATTTGGCCTTCTTGTCGAGACCCTTGGAGCGCTTAGCTGCGGGATCGTCGTTTGTGGCGGGCTCGGCAACGGGGGCCGACTGTGTGTCAGCGCCACGCTTGCGCTTCCCCCACGACCGCGGCGCGGCTTGTCCTTGCCCTTGCCGTTTTGACCCTTGCCGGTCTGTGCCGGCTTGGCGGGCGCCTCCTTAAAGTGGTGGCCAAACATATGGAGGCGACGGCGGCGCTTTGGGACGAGCTTCTTGGAGGCTTCTGCTGCCGAGGTCTTGCGACCGTTGGCAGTGCGGAGCGAGGGCGCTGCGGCAAAGAGGGCGGCAACCAGCTCATCCGGGTCGCGGCCTTCGACGCCGGGTTCCCGCGGATGTTGATGGACTCGATCTCAGGTAGGGCGGGAAGGATGGCATCAATGAGAGTGGCAACGTCGTCGGCGGTCAACTTGTTGTGGCCAAGCTCGAGGATGCGGAGGCCACGGCAGGCGACAAGGACGTCGGGCTTGAGGCCGGAGATTTCGTTGTGGCCGAGGCGGAGCTCCTTGAGCATGGGGTTCTCGGAGAGGTCGGGAATGGCGGTAAATTTGTTGTGCGAAGCCGAGATCTTGTCAAGATCGACCGAGATGTTGAGGCCCTCTAGCTTTGTCAGCGCGTTGTGGGAGATGACGAGAGTGTCGAGGCGACGCAGGTGGACAAAGACCTCGCCCGCGAGCTCATTGTTGGACAGGATGAGCGCGTTGAGATTGTACATCGACGAGAGGCCCGAGAGCGATGCGAGCTTGTTGTTGGACACGTTGAGGACGTTGACCTTCTTCAGCTTCTTGGCGTCGGTCAAGGCCGTGATGCTGTTGTGTGCAAGGTTGAGCCAGCGAAGGCGCTTGCCCATGCGGGCGACAAGAGCAAAGTCATCCACGGCCTGGCGGCTAAGGTCCATCCGCCGCAGCTTGTCCAGGTCAAGCAGTGAGAGATCAACACCTTGGACACCAGCATTTGCGCTGGGCTTGTATGAGCGAATATCTGTAGCGTTGAGGAGAAGGTGGGGGGGGGGAGAGGGTGAGTGCGGACAGGATGGATGGATTGGGTGGGCAGAACGACAGGATAGGGCAGCGTACCCTTGGGCTCTGTGTCGGGGAAGCGAGCGAGGACTTCGTCGAGAGTGATGAGCCGCTTTGGGGTTTCGAGAATGTCAGGCTTGGCCTTGGATGTGGTGGTGTTGGTGGTAGGGGTGTTGGTGGAGGAGGGGGAGGTCGGAGCAGGCGACGAGGCTGTTGTCTTGCGGCGGCGGCGACGGCGGCCCATAGTCAAGACGAGAGAGGAGTGTGACGGCTGGTGGAGGATGAGGCGGGACACTTGACTGGACGCGGCCGAGGTGTAGCGTGGGGGAGGAGGCGGCCGTGGTGATGTCGACGGGTCTGAAGCGAGAGGGGGAAGCTGTAGATGGTGGCGTGAAGAGGGCCAAACTGCTGGACGGGTCAACTGGCACAGGGAGCGCCGTTGAGGCCGGGGCCGGGTCTGGCACGGCGACCGAGGGCATCGAGAAGCCGAGCGGGTTTGCATGGGCGGTGGCGGTTGTGGGCAAGGCCGATGGACGGTGGTCGTGGCGGGTGGTGGATCCGGTGACCGGCGAGGTGAAGGCCGAGGGCGAGGCCGCGTCGATGGGTGAGGCGCGGGCAGTGGCGGACGGATGGCCTGGCGCGCGTGTTTGGCGGTGATGATGAGACAGTGCGCTCGCTGGGAGTAAATCGATGGTGAGATGGTGGAAGGAGAGGCAAAAGGGAGCTACGTGGTGTTACTCGTCTTTGCTCTTGGGTTCATGCGACGGCGGCGGAGATGCCTGGCGCGGGGCGAGCGAGTAGAGGAGCGAGCCTGTGAAGAGGGCGAGGGTTCCGGCCCAGTGGACAAAGGTGAAGGGGTTGGAGAAGAGCCAGATGGAGATAAGGAGCGATGCAAACTTGCGGAGGGTGATGACAAGGGTGGTGGTGAGGGCGGTCGAGTAGCCGACAACGAGATAGACACCGCGAATGCAGACGTATTGCAAGAGGATGTTGGCCGCGAGGGCGGCCCAAAGGGCCGGGACGCCGGGGAGAGCATCGAACGGGGCCGAGGCCGAGAAAATGGCAGCGTGGGCGGCAATGTCGCGGGCAACAAGCGCAAAGCCGGGTAGCGAGAGCGCATGGGTGAGGAACATGGTCTCGCGGGTGTGGGATCGGCCATAGACAGCGTATGTCTTCTCCTGGAGCAAGCCGAGGAGTGCGGAGAGGAGGATGGCGAGCGAGAGCATGCCAATACCGATGAGCCAGGTGGCAAAGTCGATAGGCTTTCCCTCGCTCGGCTTGCCACCGTTCTTGGAGAGGGCTGTGGCGTAGGTGACGGTAAAAATGCCGCCGGAGACGAGCAGGACACCTGCGACCTGCTGCAGCGAGTACCGTTTGCCCAGGATGATGTAGCCGAGCGTCATGGAGGCGATGAGCGAGCCAGAACGGAAGATCATGTGGAGCGGGACTGAAATGTCAAAGCCGGTCGCGAGATTGTTGATGACCGACATGGCGAAGAAGAGGACGACCATCAGCAGGTACGCCCGCAGCGGAATGGCATTGGCCTTGAGCCACGGGACATAGGCCATGCCCGGGCCGTCTGCAGCCGCGGATCCAGGCCAGCGCGTGTGCACAAGGGCCCCTTCTGCGGCAATAAAGGTAAACTGGGCCACGGTCAGCAGATTGCCGCATGTAGGCACTTCGCTGTGGTGGTGATGTGCGAGTGTAAGTGAGGAGGGGGAGGGGAGGGAGGGGAGGGAGGGGGGGGGGGGGGAGGGGATAGGCCGTACCGCATGAGATACTCAAAGGTAATTACGTTGGAGCAGCAGCCGAGGAAGACCAAGGCAATGCCTGTCGCCACGTATTTGGCGTGGTCGTCCATGGCGGGCGGGGTGTAGTCGAGTGTGTGTGTGGAGGGGGGGAGAGGGTCAGAGACCAGGCATCAGGTGTGTGTTGTGGGGGGATG